ATATTTATTTTCAAGCTATTTATCAAATAAGGTTTTAATATTAAGTTAATATTAAGTAACTTACATACAACAAAGTCTGAAAATATATATAGCTGCTCATAAATGTTTTAAATGAGGAGCACAAGTGCATTTAATGCACTTCTGTAATTTAATTATCTCCAAGTAGACATTCTGTTGAGTGAATGTGTTTGTGCCACACATAATTAATTAACGTTGTTCAATGATCAGTAACGTGCCTGCCCATGCAATAAGTTTAAAACATCAACAAAGTGGAGAAAAACTACAAAAAGCACTTGTAACACGACATAACGGTGCTTTACCGAGCAATGACGATAATATTAATATGACGTTATTCAATATGAATATATGACTAGCTATACACTCTTAAAAATAAAGGTGCTTCAAAAGGTTCTTCAAGCGATGTCATAGAAGAACCATTTTTGGTTCCACAAAGAAGCATTCAGTCAACGGTTCTCTAAAGAACCATCTCTTTCTTAATCTGAAGAACCTTCTTTCGCCACAAAGAAGCTTTTGTGAAACAGAAAGGTTCTTCAGATGTTAAAGCTTCTTTATGGAACCATTTAGACAAAAAGGTTCTTCTGTGGCATCGTGAAGCACCTTTATTTGTAAGAGTGTAACAATAACAGAATAACAATGTAACAGAACAAAGAGACGCATCAGTGTAAAATTGCGAAAGGTGACACATAATTTCAGTTCAGTGATGAAGAGAGAATCTGAATTTACATTTCGCTGCGGACTGAGAGTAAAGCTGAGCTTTGCGCTGTTCGCTGCCAGATGAACTTAAACTTGTAGATCTGAACCTAAATGTTCTGTTTTCTTTGGAAAAAACTTCCCGACTTCTCGGAAGTACAGCCAGCGCCAGGGTTGCCAAATCCTTCCCAAGAGTCACCCTCAAAAGACTAAATTTTTCAATCTAAATATTGAGAAAATCATCTTTAAAGTTGTCCAAATGAAGTTCTTAGCAATGCATATTATTAATCAAAAATGAAGTTTTGATATATTTACGGTAGAAAACTTTCAAAATATCTTCATGGAACATGATCTTTACTTAATATCCTAATCATTTTTGGCATAAAAGAAAAATCAATAATTGTGACCCAGACAGTGTATTGTTGGCTATTGCTACAAATATACCCCAGCGACTTAAGACTGTTTTTGTTATATATATATAATAGTATGAATTCTAAAAATAACATTGTTATTTTCATTGTAATGTTATTTTACCAGGGGTGTAAAAAGTATTTAAAAAATGATACTCAAGTGAAAGTACGAGTATCTGGCCAAAAGCATACTTGAGTAAAAGTAAAAAAGTACAACTTAAAAAAAAAACAAATTGTATTTATTGTACTATTAAAAAAGTACAATAAATAAACAAAGGAGTTTCTTATTTCACCATTTTAAGTGCTAAGTGCTTCCAATTAAACTGCATGACATGTTTTGTCAGACAGACATACAAAGGTTTGGTTAAAGTGAGAAACAAAACAAAACACAATTGTACGAGTCATCTAGTGCAGCAACAACAATTAAAATTCAGCAAAGTGGAACACAAATAAACATAGCCCTTAAAGGGATACATACACCGTCCACACCCTCATGCCGTCCCATATGTTTATGACTGACTGTCTTCAGATTAAGAGTTTTAGGGGAAAAAATCATCTCTTTGCATATAACACAAGTGTACAGGACATCCAGAGATAATGCTTGAAAAACCTGGCAACCCTGGTCTTCATATGCATGCCACATTGCTTCCCGATATCACATGAAAGCATATGAAATATTTCCCGTCAATAGGATCGTTAGGCTATAATAACATGACTATGTATGTATATACATACAGTTCTGTGCAAAAGTCTTAGGCCATTATATTTTCACCAACAAAAAATGGTTTTAAGTCAGTTATTTCTATGTTTTGCTGTAGTGTGTCGGTAGGAAATATCCTATATGTTTACTTTTCCAAACATTTCTTTTGCCATTAATTGTAATAATCCAGTGAGATTTTTGTCTGGTGCTGCACACAGAGATCTGATCTGATCATCATCAGTCCGTCTGCGATTACATGAAGAAACTGAGACAGACTCAATCCAGAAGAACTGTGGCAAAGCCTCAAAGACGCTTCAAGAAACCTCCTGCAAAGCTACAGTACTGTGAGAAGTTATAGCCACTTGTGTAAAAATGCTAAAGTGAGGATGCTTTCAAAAATAATGCCATCGATTTTATTTATCAGTTGACTACATCAAATCTTGTTTTCAGGTATAGCTTTCACAATACTTCAAGTTTTGTGTTTCACAATTGCTTTGATTATTTTATATATTTTAATCATTAAAGTGACTTTAATGCAAAAATACATCTAGATAAAATAAGTGATGTTTACTGGTTGAAAGACTGTAATTTAGTATTTCATATCCAGCAGATGTCAGTGTTTGACCGCATGTTACTGTAAACAGATTGCAGCATATTCTTCTTTTATTGTGTAATTAGTTCTTTGATAAATAGAAAAGGCATTTGAATCGTTCTTATCTGTAATACAGAACACGCTTATTTGGGTTTTCTTGTGGTTTAAGTTTAGGTTTCACTAAACACACAAACCAGACACAATCTCTCCCGTGTTGAGGTTATACACTGTAAAAAATAAAAAGTTGAGAAAACTTACAAGTTTAAGGCAACCAGTTTCAGCAGATTGAGTTTTCTCAACTTGTTGTTTTCAGTTTATACAAAAACAAGTTGAGAAAACTCAAAAATCTGCTGAAGCTGGTTGCCTTAAACTTTTAAGTTTTCTCAACTTTTTATATTTTTTACAGTGCATCAACTATTTGTTCTACAAAACCTGTTTTTAAGACTAAAAAGACTTTCAATGCAGAAAATAACTTTAAAATGAAATTAACCTACACTGTAAAACACAACGTGCTTATAAAACTGAAACTAAAACCATACTACTCGAAATAAAATAAATATAAAAAACTTCATAAAGCACAAAATTACTAGAACTTTAACTAAAATTAAAATGAAATACTAAATATTCAATATAAGTAATATAGGCTATATCAAATCAATACAAACTATAAACTTTAAAATGGCATAATAAATACACAACAGGGGGGAAAAAAAGTGAGACGAGATACTTTTTAATAAATCATCACAATTATCTGATACACTTTTTTATCAAATGTTACTTATTCCATGTGAAACACCAATCATCTACAATGTATTTTCATCAACAGAGCTTGATCTTCAGGATGACAAACTGATCGACCGTACAACAAAGATACGGCCTTTTAATTCACAAATACTTGGACATGAATTGTGTAGATGCACATATGATTGCAATCATTTCCCTTCGCCACATTTGTCCCTTCATAAATGTACCTTATATGAAATAACACAAAGGCAACAACAAATCCAATTCAATGACATTCACGTCTATTAACCATAATAAAGGCACATTAATCCAGCAGTGTGAAGTACACTAATACTGAAACACACAGTGCATAGTCTTTCAGTAGTGCTCATAGCTTTTATTTTTGAAAATGTAGTAATAAATATAAAATTAACCATTTTACTATCAGTTACAGTTTGTGGCATTAAGGCACAGAGATGCACTAGATGCTGAACACAGATACATCAAATCATCTTAATTTCTTGACCGTCTGTGATCTTATAAGGCACTTTGTTTGATATCCTAAAACAAATATATGATAATCTGTCCAATGATACAAAGTGTTCATGAAAATAATCAGGTGTAAGACACAAATTATCTGTAGCCTGTGATGCATTTAAAGGAATAGTTCACTCAAGCAATGAAAATGTCCTGAAAATGTACTTATTACTTACAAATGCACTGTTAAGATGTTTTTAACTTCAAACCATTGCGTCCAGTCCATAATCCATAATAACTCTTCCTCCAGTGAAAAAGTGAATCTGCTGTTGTCTCTCACATCAAAATCCAGCCACATATGTGTTTAGAGCTGTTTAAACGCTGCTTGATCTGTGCAGATTTCTCTCCTGATTCAGACCAGAACACTTTTTCACTGGAGGAAGAGTTATTATGGATTATGAACTCGTGTTTGAGTTAAAAACATCTTAATGATGGATTTGTTTCAGCTTTTGTCTTCTCCAGATGTGAACTGATGGACTGGAGTGCTGTGGATTATTGTGATGTTTTTATCAGCTCTCGTTGTGACGGCACCCATTCACTGCAGAGCAAGTTCAGACTCCACAAAATCTGATGCAGAAACAAACTCATCTGCATCTCGGATGGATCAGCCAAATTTCACAGCTGGGTGAACTATTCCTTTAAACAAATAACTCACCTAAAAACGAATTCTGTCATTATTTACTCACCCTTATGCTAAATCCTATTTTTTTTCATGCACGACACAGATTTGATGTTTATGCATCTGCATGATATCCGCACTTTTATGGTGCAAACCCAAAATCTTTTTGTGTTGCATTGAAAAAAAAAAAAAAAGAAGCAATACAAGGGTTTTTAATGACACTAGGGTGAGTAGGCCTAAATAATATTCTCGAACATATAAACGACAAACTATAGTGTTCTTTTCCATAATAAATATTAAATACTACAAATAAAAAGCAATAACCCCAACAATAAAAAAGGCATATCAGTTGGTTTAGGTGACACAGTCATAAACGCTCCTTCTTCTTCCTCTCACTGCATGCGGTCCGTTTGCAGCTGCTGTGGCTGATACTGAGCGAACGCGGCCGCGGCGGATCCGGGTGCAGGCGATGCCAGCGGCTGCTGGACGTAACCGTAGCCCGCCGCTGCAGCGACGTAACCCGCGGCGGCTGGGGAGGCGGCATACGGGTACTGATCGTAAGCGGCGGCGGCTGCAGCGGATGTGGCGGCGGCGGAGTACTGCGCGTACGCGGCGCCGGTGTAATCCAGGTACGGAGACGCTGCGGCCGCGGCCGAGGACGGCTGGACGTGAGGGATCACCATGCTGGGCTGAACAAACGCCTGCGGGTACACATAGTGAGCGGGAATCCTGAGGGACACAGAGATCATGTGATCAGACAGGGAGCGAGCAAAACATTGACTTCAACATGAAACAGCACGGGGTTATTCACATCAACAGGACTGCCACAATAGAGCATGCTGGGAAGAGTCAATGATCAGTAACTCTGTCACGTCACATCAGAAGATGCATCATTAACTTACGAGGTTTTCAGGTATTTCACGGTGAAAAGAAAAATGCATTATTGTTTTGAACATTTTGCATTACTTGAAACGGTCAATGCAGATGCTAAAAAAAAACAATAGCAATGGGCTTCGTTCATTAAATACAAGCAGAATGAATTTGTGTAAATCATTCATTAATTTTTTTTACATAAATTGTCATTCAATTTAATGCAAGAGTTTACATACACTCTTAAAAATAAAGGTTCCAAAAGCGTGTTTTTGCAAAGAAGCTTTCAGTGAACAGTTCCTAAAAGAACCAGTTTGAAGAACATTTTAAAAATCTAAAGAACCTTTTCTGCATTTGAAAGGTTCCATGGATGTTCAAGGTTCTTCATAGAACCATTGATGCTAATAAAGAATTTTTATTTTTAAGAGTGTAAGATGGTGTGGCTACACCATTTCTGTTTTATAACATTTTATGTTTTTGAATTGAACTGAAACTTGAACTGAATTGTATGGAATATATGGAGGTCACAAATCTGACTTGTAAAGTTTGTATCTGTTTATATAGATTTTATTGTATCAACCTTTTTTTAATCGAATTGAAACTTGTATCGAATTTAACTGAATATGTCTCACTAAATCTGTCTTGTAAACCTTTTACCAGTTTTCATTTATTTTTTATATAGATTTTATTTTTAACCCTTTTAGGTTTTTTAATATATATTTTAATTTAATATGTGAAGGTCTCAATAAATCTGTCTTTTTACCTTTTATGAATTATTTTTATTTAATTTTATTGTATAACCCTTTTAGGCTTTTTAATTGAATTGAAACTTGAAATAAAGTTAAATAAATTGAATTTAATACATGAAAGTCTCAGCAAATCTGTCTTGTAAACTTTTTAGTATCGCCTCTTTTAATTAATTAATTTTTTTAATAGATTTTATTGTCAAAACCTTTGACTCTCGATTTTCAAATGTGAAAAATTCTGCATTTATTTTATTGTTTAGAAGAAAAAAAAATGTACTGGTTTAAGGAAACAACAGCAATAATTACATGCATACTTAAGATCAGATATGAAATATGAAGAAAACACAAAAATCAAGGTAAATATTACTTGAGAACAGAATTTTTTTAAACGCATCTAATTTCCGATCCATGTTGTTTGCATATGTAAAATTTAGCAAAAATATGATTTAACTGTGTGCATTTAAGTCAAATTAGCCATAAGATTTATGAATGATTTACCCAGACATTCATTCTGCTTGTACTTGATGAATCAGACTTAATTGGTGAATCTCAACTCACTAAACGAACGTCATCATCAGTCATTAATAGTGCTTTCGCTAACAGAGTCCGTCGTTAGCTCTTAATGATGTTTCAAATGAATGCTGTTGTATTACTGATATCACTTGCAAACTCAGCATTCAATTTCAGTTCAGGTCATAATATTGCCTAACCTTGCACTCAAATAAAACAAATGACTATGAATATCAAAGCAGATCAATCAATATCACAGCAGAAAAAACACCCTTCCAAAAAAAAAAGAAAATAGACCGTAGCTTTGACAGCAATTCTGCAATCATAAACAGGGTCAATGTTACTGACACACCAAACAATACTGAAAAGAAAGAGGAGAAATCCAGTTTCACACTCGCGTGCGTTCACACGTCACAAACACACAACGCTTGAAGAGAAATAAGAGTGGAAATCTGCTAAATACACCAACTCTAACGTCCGACTTCTGAAGGGAAAATAAGCAGCAAAACTGTGTTTTCAGCATCTTTACACTGCAAAGAGAAACAGGGAGTTGCATCTGAAGAACGGCAAATAAGTCAAATACATTTGACCCCAAAATCAAACGAAAATCTAAAAGATAAAAAATGACTTAATTGACTTACATTAATTAAGATAATTATGCATTCCCCCCCTCAAGCTCTCATTTCTGAAATGCAGCTTGACGTTTTTTATTAAATTTCAAATATTAATGATTTTCCTTACTGTGACTGTGCAACATTTTTAGTTTTTTGTTTTAACGATCATTAAATCATTAAAAATTAAAGGCAGCACAGAAAATCTTACAATGATAAATAAATAAATATTTTTGAGGAACTGGGAGGGTAAATGTGCTTAGTCACAATGCAAAAAAAAATAAAAAATAAAAATAAAAAGTAAATAAATTATATACACTACCAGTCCAAAGTTTCTGAACTTCTAATTCTAAAGAATTCTCTTCTGCTCACCAAGCCTGCATTTATTTGATTCTAAATACAGCAAAAGCAGTAATATTGTGTAATATTTTTAGCGGAGTAGAATTTTTCAGGTTTCTTTGATGAATAGAAAGTTCAGAAGAACAGCATTTATCTGAAATAGAAATCTTTTGGAACATTATGAATGTCTTTATCATCACTTTTGATCAATTTAAAGCAACCTTGCTAAATAAAGGTATTAATTTCTATAATCCCCCCCACCAAAAAAAAAGATAAATAATATATACTGACTCCAATGTTTTTGAATGGTAGAGTGTATAATGTTACAAAAGCTTTTTATTTCAGATAAATGCTGATCTTTGGATCTTTCTATTCATCAAAGAATCCTGAAAAAATTTACTCAACTGTTTTAAATATTAATTATAATAATAATAAATGTTTTTTGAGCAGTAAATCAGCATATTAGAATGATTTCTGAAGATCATGTGACACTGAAGACTGGAGTAATGATGCTGGAAATACAGCTGCGCATCACAGAAATAAATTATATATTAACAGATATTCACATAGAGGACGGATATTTTAAATAGTAAAAATATTTCACAATTTTACTGCTTTTGCTGTATTTAGAATCAAATAAATGCAGGCTTGGTGAGCAGAAGATAATTCTTTAAAAAACATTACAAATCTTTTGACTGAGAGTGTATGCTGGAAAGTTGATTCTTGTGCACAGCTGTTATTAAACAGGACACATCAGAAGCATTCTTCATCTTCCAATCATTTTGCATATACGGGTTCGCAAGTCCAACATTTTGTTTCTCACTTTTGACTTCAGCATTGCAGCCATAACATACAGTGGGTACGGAAAGTATTCAGACCCCCTTAAATTTTTCACTCTTTGTTATATTGCAGCCATTTGCTAAAATCATTTAAGTTAATTTTTTTTCCTCATTAATGTACACACAGCACCCCATACTGACAGAAAAACACAGAATCGTTGACATTTTTGCAGATTTATTAAAAAAGAAAAACTGAAATATCACATGGTCCTAAGTATTCAGACCCTTTGCTCAGTATTTAGTAGAAGCACCCTTTTGATCTAATACAGCCATGAGTCTTTTTGGGAAAGATGCAACAAGTTTTTCACACCTGGATTTGGGGATCCTCTGCCATTCCTCCTTGCAGATCCTCTCCAGTTCTGTCAGGTTGGATGGTAAACGTTGGTGGACAGCCATTTTTAGGTCTCTCCAGAGATGCTCAATTGGGTTTAAGTCAGGGCTCTGGCTGGGCCATTCAAGAACAGTCACAGAGTTGTTGTGAAACCACTCCTTCGTTATTTTAGCTGTGTGATTAGGGTCATTGTCTTGTTGGAAGGTAAACATTCGGCCCAGTCTGAGGTCCTGAGCACTCTAGAGAAGGTTTTCGTCCAGGATATCCCTGTAATTGGCCGCATTCATCTTTCCCTCGATTGCAAACAGTCGTCCTGTCCCTGCAGCTGAAAAACACACCCACAGCATGATGCTGCCACCACCAGGCTTCACTGTTGGGACTGTATTGGACAGATGATGAGCAGTGCCTGGTTTTCTCCAAACATACCGCTTAGAATTAAGGCCAAAAAGACCAGAGAATCTTATTTCTCACCATCAGTTTGGCCGGACGGCCAGCTCTAGGAAGGGTTCTGGTCGTCCCAAACGTCTTCCATTTAAGGATTATGGAGGCCACTGTGCTCTTAGGAACCTTAAGTGCAGCAGAATTTTTTTTGTAACCTTGGCCAGATCTGTGCCTTGCCACAATTCTGTCTCTGAGCTCTTCAGGCAGTTCCTTTGACCTCATGATTCTCATTTGCTCTGACATGCACTGTGAGCTGTAAGGTCTTATATAGACAGGTGTGTGGCTTTCCTAATCAAGTCCAATCAGTATAATCAAACACAGCTGGACTCAAATGAAGGTGTAGAACCATCTCAAGGATGATCAGAAGAAATGGACAGCACCTGAGTTAAATATATGAGTGTCACAGCAAAGGGTCTGAATACTTAGGACCATGTGATTATTTCAGTTTTTATTTTTTAATAAATCTGCAAAAATGTCAACAATTCTGTGTTTTTCTGTCAATATGGGGTGCTGTGTGTACATTAATGAGGAAAAAAAATTAACTTAAATGATTTTAGCAAATGGCTGCAATATAACAAAGAGTGAAAAATTTAAGGGGGTCTGAATACTTTCCGTACCCACTGTATATTATCCAAACGGCTAAAACTGCTAACAGGACCTTTGATTTGACAGTGTAAAGATGCCCGGAGTCATAGATGCTAAAGATGAAGCGTTTAACTTCTGAGCCACTAGCAGCACCAGACAAACTGCAAAAATAATCACCGTTAAGACCCGTCTATCTGTTGCTGGGCAGATTTCATTTGTAATTTTCCATGGCTGAAATGAGTCCTAAGCGGCAAACGTGCAAAAACAACAGGTGCTGGTGTTAAATGTGGCCATAGATGAGTTGGGAGTGTGTAACAGGCCATTCCTTACTGTCAGTCTGCCGGAGTGACGGGACAGTTGTGGAGAGGCTATTTCTGCTGTCATAAACGGAAAGATGAGCAACGCTCCTATCAGCAACACATGGCCTGACACTTTAACTCAGTCCGCATTACTGTGC